TGGGGGAGCACAGGCCTGGACAGACCCCACAAAGAGACCCTTCCTTGTTCCTGAACGCTAGGTGTATGTGATGGTTAATTTTGTGTCACTGTTACTGGGTCATGGGCACCCAGGCCAGACATGACTGCTGATTGGTGGTGTCCACACTGGTGGGCCTCATGGTTGAGGCCCTTGCTTGTGGGAGTGGGATTGTGCCATCCAGTGAGGGCCTGACTTGGACACTGGCAGAGCGGGAGCATCCGCACCCTCTTTATACCCCCCTCAGTGCCCTGCTGAGCCAGCTGTCCCATCTTCTGCTCACAGACAGGGTGCACAGCCTCAACCTGTGGCTCCCAGGCCTTATCTCCAGACTGAGCTCCATCACCAGCTTCTATCTCCAGCTGCCAGATGATAGTGGGACAGCATGGCTTTTATAACCATGTGGGTCAATCCGGATAGTCTCTCTCCACCTTACACAAATACACACACACACACACACACACACACACACACACACACACACACACACACACACCCTCCCTCCCAGTAGTTCTCTTGCTAGGAGAACCCTGACTCAGGCAGTGTGAGTCCCAGCTGGGCCACAATGGACTGGGATTGGCTGACCTGCTCTGTCACTCCCTTTCCGGGTTTTGCATAAACAGGAAGTGTTTGACAGTGACTGAGATTGGTGTAAATAAAGCACTGATAGGACACTGGCACCACCCCTGCCTGCTTCTGGTGGGTTTGCAGCAGGCCCTCCAGTCCCCGTGCCCTCCCTTGGTGACTTGCTGAGGCCGGGTCCCTGCTGGTCTCGCACGTGAACAAAGGGTGAGTGTAGCACCCGAAGGGTGAGTGCTGCTCCCAGAGCCCCACAGTCTACACAGCCGGTAGCCAGGTCTTGGTCTCCCAGCAGGCGAGGCAGGGAATATCCCTCCCAACCAGCAATCAGCTCATCAGGCCAGCAGCGCCCCGTGCCAGTGTCAGAGTGGTGACCAACTCAACCATGGGACAGGAGTTAGAAGAGCTGGACCAGCGAGCTGGGAATGGGCACACCTTCCCTCACCAAAAGGCTCCACAGAGGTTTCTGTAACAGAGGCTGGGGAACCAGGAGCACATGAACACTCATTAGGAGACTGACAAGGAGGCTCAGCCCTCCTGCTGCCCTGCAACTTGGCCTGCTTCGGAGTTGGCTTCGTGCAAACCTCAGCTGTCACCACTGGGGAAGGATCCTCGGCCTGTCCTCCGGGCCAGACCTGGTATCACAGCAGGGGTGGAGGATCCTTGTATCTTTCCTTGGGGACAGATCTTGTGTCACATCAAGGGTGGAAGATCCTTGTGTGCAAAAGACCAGTTTGAAAGCGCACTGAACAGGCTTTAGATATTATTCATGTGGTTTATAATTTGGCTATTGATTAAAATTATAAGTCACTCCAAGACCTAAGTGTGAACTGCTAATTGACCTTTCAGCTGGTAAACGGAGATAGACTTCCCTATGCCAACGGTCACAATTGAGGTCTCAATGATTGATGAGGCTGTGACATCTCTAACAAAAACAAACAAACAAAAACCACTGTAGCTGAGGAATTACGACTCTGTGCAACCATTCTCTAAGATCAAATGTTAGCTAAGATAACACAGGTGGCTCACTAGCTATGACCTGCAAGATAGCACAGGGAGCTTGTTAACCATGACCTGTCTTCACAAGTATATATATTATTCCACTTTTTATGGCCTAGCTCATTAAGTACATTAGCTCTGCTATTCCTGACATCTACTTTCACACACCCTTGCTATGTTGTATAATCATAAATACTGACTAATCCAGAGCTCATGGTCTTAGCCAGGACAGAGCTAAGATCAGGCAGTCTTTAGCCAGGAGAGAACTGAAGATCAATTCCCGGCCCCCCAAGTAAAAAACTACTGTTCGTTATACTTTATTCCTTCCTTGTTCTTTGGATTTTTTTCTTTCATCCCCTGCTGTCTCATCAGGCAACTGGGTATCCCCCAGTGACTGGCCAGGCTATCACCCTGACAACTGGTTGGGCTATCACCCCGACACTCATATCTGTCCCCAAGGCCAGACCTGGTGTGACAGCAGGGGTAGAGGATCCTCATGTCTTTCCTTGTGGACAGACCTAGTATTATATCAAGGGTAGAGGATCATCATGCCTCTCCTTGGGGACAGACCTGGTGTCACAGCAGGGGTGGAGAACCCTTGTGCCTCTCCTCGGGGACAAGACCCTGCTCTGGTTGGAGCCCATTCTCAGGGCCTGCTTTAGGCCACTCTCAAGCTTCATGTGTTCATCTGTTTCAATTCCATAGAAGAGATCAGGACAATAGATGGATGGCTATAGCAGGGCTGGTAGGGGTTATCCTGTAAAGTTTGTATGAATACATTAAATAGCAATTCTAACTTTATATAAAACATATACATGTAAGTAGTCTATGCAACCCACTCTGTTGGTAACTAAATACACTATGTTAAAGCCATGAAATGGAATGCGATTCCACCATAGGAAGTTCTGACATCTGCTATAGCACGGATGAACCTTGAGGACACTGCCAAGGGAAAGCAGCCAGTCACAGAAGAACATGGCCGGAGTCTACTCACATACGGCACCTGCAGGAGTCAAGTTCACAGATTGAAAGTGGATTGGTGAATGCCAGGGGTTGAGGGAGGGGACCCAGGAACTTATTGCTCCCTGGCAACAGAAATTTTTTGGGAGGATGAGAAAAGTTCTGGAGATGGAGAACGGTGATGGCTGCACACGTGAATGTATTTTTACCACTCACTGTACATTTAAAAATGGTTGCAATGATAACTTTTATGGTGTGTATATATAAAAATTTGAAAAACTAGTACAAATTAATGTCAAATGTAGGAGTATTAGTAATATGCTAAGTTGTCTTTCTGGTTGTTTTGGACATAATATTGAACTTCAGACTTTATTCATATAAAGTGAATATATTCTTAAAGATTAACTAAAAACAAATAGACTCAATCTCTTTATAACTGTACACTCTTGTAAATCACAACTGAAGTAGTGCTCTTTTGTGGTCTATTCTCAAGAAGGCTGAACATTTCTCTCTACATATGCATGAGCTGCAGTCATTGGGCATCTGTAAGTCAGCAACGTGCTGGCAACAATTTGGAGACAGATACTGGGGATTTCCTGTAAGTGCCAGACCACAGAGGTGGGAGCCAGGAGGGCGTGGCCAACCCCACTGCCACTGCGCTTCCGCTGCACCAGGTAAGTCACAGTACGTGTGGGAAAGACACTCGCAGCAGCAGCAGGATGAGCTGGCTTGCCATCTTAACCCCAGCCGCTGAGATCAGCCTGGGACACAGAGGAAACCAGAAAGGGAGAGACTGGTGTCTCCAATGAGAGGGGCCCAAAGTGCTGTAGAGAAAGATAGCAGTAAAGGTGAACATCCACGGAAGGCAGCAGAAGAGCTAAGCCGGTTTCACCGAACTAGAGGAGGCTGGAGAAAGAGGGCTCTGGATGCAGCTACTGAGACTGTGTGTGTGGATGCTGCTTCTCCCGTGTCCTGGAGGGAGCCACAGGGGTGGCCAGAGTCATATCCCCACCCTGGACCATGTCAAGGGTGCTGGGACTTGGTGGGGACCCACCCAAGTGACACTGTGTAGGAGTGCCTGTGCTGGGTGCTGTTGGGCTACCTGGAGACTGCAGGACCTGCAGGGCAGCCCTGACGTCCACAGCCTCACCTTGCCTGAGGGGGCCACAGATGCCACCCAGATCCACGGCTGCTGAGGTCCACAGTCACCAGTGTCATAGCCCAGGATACTCAGTCTTCCCAGCATTTGCACCTCCCAAGTCACATTTGGCCCACAGTTGCTTGCGTTGCTTTCTAATCCTGTCTTGCCACGTGCTCTCCTTTAACTAATTTACATCTCAGACTGTGGACAGAATTAGTGTTTTCCTTCCCTTGGCTTCAAGGTGAGAACACACAGGCTTCATCAGCTTATATGCTGTCTTCCACCAGGCTCTCAGCCGGTCTCTAACTGGCTCCTGTGAGCGTGTGAGGCCCCTGGTCCATCTGACCCCAAGTCCTGCTTCACTTCACGCACTGAGGCTGACAGATGAGCCAAGAGCAAAGGGCCTTAGGTGGTTTCACAGCTCAGCTACCTGAGGCAGACCATCTCTGCCCGTGACAGACACTGAGGACACCAAGCCACATGCCCTCGGCCAGTGGCCTCATCTCCTGCTTTCAGGACAGCTGTGAAGTCAGCATGGATCCAACCTTTTCTTTCCAGCCAGGTTTACACATCTGTCTCTCCCCTCCTGCAGCCCCACACTCTGCTTCCCCATTCCCTAAAATACGTGAGCAGACCATAGGCTATCAGTGACAAATGACGGAACTATCATGCTGTTGCTTCATGGCTCCTCAGGGCAGCAGCATTGCAGATACTGTGCAGGGAGCCCTGGCTGCTCTCTGGTTGCCTCCTGCTTCTGGCTGGGAAATGCAAGCACCTCCAGGCAGAACCCATCATGCTGGCTCACTGGACAAAAAAAGACCTGAGTTTCTCCAGGGCTAGAATGGCCTGATGTCACCCCAAATCACAGACCCTCTCCACAGAGGTACCTGGGATGAAAGCTGGTGAGGAAGTGCTGGGAGCTCCAGTGGACAGCTGAGACAGCATCTGCATTGCTCTCGGGGAGAAAGTGGGGTTAAATGCTGAGCCCTGGCTGTGCTCCTCGAAGATGCCCAGGACTAGATGTGCAGGCTGTGGCTCACCCAGGAGCACCTGGCTGCAGGCCTCGGAGCATGACTGCTTGGGTGACTCCTCTGAAGACCACAGTGGGCCGGCCAGGAGCGAACTCAGACCCACAGTGGACAGCTCAAAGGAGGAGGGTTAGAACCCGAGTCTGGGGCAGGTGTGGAGGAGCTAGGACATGCAATGCTGGAGCTCCAGAACTCCTTGCACTGGTGATGGCACATGTGGACGCCACCACTTCACCAGGACAATTTTTATTTACCAAAAAAGAAACACACAGAGCAAAGAATTAAAAGAATTTTAATAAAATTAACAAGTTTACATTTGTACAGGTTGTGTAGGTGGGACCCAAGGGAACGAAGGATAAAGTTGCAAGGACAAAAGTTCCCAGGGGACAGCAAAGACCAGGCCAGGGCCACCCCCTCTGCAGCCACCACCTGCACCCTCTCAGACGCAGGGCCCCACAGCCTCTGAGACATGCCTACGTTAAGACCTGATAGGCGACAGCAATGAAGAGTCCACAAAGCTGAGCAGTACTGCCTGCAGAGTAATCGTGCAAGGACAGTTGCGTGGAACTAATGAGAGAGTAGGTCTGAGTGACAGTTCTAACTGCTCTGTTCAACAGCAGTCACAAAACAGCAGGCCCGTTAGAAAGAATTCGTCTTAAAAATAGGATCTGACAAAAAGACCTTGTGAGGGTGTGAGAAAGGGTAGAGAACAGTTTTTAACAGACGAGATGACTGCACGCTGTCACAGAATCTGCTTGTGTCGGGATTTGGTAGAGACGGAAACTGCTCAACTCCATTCTCATTCTTTGGAAGGATGACACTTGTCTCAAAATAACGCTGTGTTCAGAGATGGACTGGTGGCCCCACATTAGAAATGGGCAACCACAGGCCTTTTGCAAGATTGCACCCATTGTGTGTGTGTGGAGGAAACAGTGTTTTTCAAAGTGCAAAGTCGCATGAACAGTTAACTTGCTCTCCAAGGAATTCAAACCCCACTTCCTGGCCATGACAGCAACATCCGGGCACAATGAGTGCTCTGGAACAGCGGTTCACAGGGAGCTCGCAGCTGGGCCTCAGAGTCACACTAGTTTATGCAGTACAAAAGAATTTCCTCATCATTTATTCTTTAAATAACTGAAACACAGGAAAAAATATTGCCAATTCTCCCAAATAACACAGGGATGCTTTTGCTTTTTGGCTCACTTGCAACCTGAGAGGTAAACCTAGACTGATCATTTGAAGACAGCAAATCTTTTTACAGCCTAGGCAGTGAGTGCTTCCTTGGCTCTGAGAGGCTTGGGTGGATGGAGAGAGCGTGTGCTCTGGGCCCTCTCATCCTTCATGCCAGCTGATGACAGCTCCCCAAGGCTCCATCATCCCAGGGAAGACATTCACAGGTTCACAGGTGGGCAGTGAGGTGACAGCAGCTGCAGCACATCACGGATGAACACAGAAGCAAGGAACCCCATGGTGATGGACAAGAGGCTGCTTTCTGGGGGTTCAGAGACCCTCAGGGCAGACACAGAGGAGCGGGAGGTAAGGCAGTCCGACCTGACATCCCTCAGGGCTCTGCAGACGCCCCCACAAGCCAGGGCTGGCCCAGGCAGAGGCAATTTCATCCCCGTCCCACTAAGTGCATGATGTGAGCAGTCCCACCTGTGAGGCACAGACCTCTTTGTGCACTGTGTCTCCCTTTCGATTCCCAGGTCTTCAGGAGGAGGTATGTTGTAAGGAGAAAAATCATCCCTAGTGAATTTGGCAGGTCAATTTCCAAACAAGAGAAAAACTCCAAAGCTGCTGCAAGTTCAGATAAGAACACCTGGTTGCACAGGCTCATGGTGGAGTCTCCCGGAGCCTGCCTGGGCCTCGCCCACCTGGGTCCCCTCCCACCGTCTCCTCAGGATAGGCAAAGCAGCTTCTCTGAGGCTTCAGCAATTCCCAAACACATCCCTGTTCTCCAGGCAGTGAGAAGCACAGGAGTGCTTGGGGAAATGAGGCAGGAGCCACAGGAAGCAGGAACACACCCCACATCCCCAAGGCCAGCTCTTCACCGGGCAAAGGCAGAGTTGCCTGGATGGGGACACTGGGCCTTGGCCACAGAGGGCTCTGCTGCAGGTGTGAGTGTCCCAACTGCACAGGAGACCCCTCGTCCTTGGCTCCAGGTGACTGCAGTGCACAGGGAGCCTTGCTCGTCTCCATCACCAGGATTCTCAGGGATTCACATTCACGTTCACACAGAGCGGTCCGCAAGGAGGTGGCCTGGTTCATGGACACAGATATCACCTGGCACCCAATGGCACCCTCTGTGCTGGCTGGCACAAGGCGTGCGGCCGTCTGCTGTATCCAGCAGACCTCAAGAGAACTCAGAGTCACCCTCGCGCCCCAAGCCCAGCTCTTCAAGTCCGGGTGCCAGGGGTGGGGGAGCTGTGTCTGCTGGCAGCACAGTGGGTGTGCACAAGCCCCCCGTTTGGGTACCGGATGAAGACAGGCTCCGAGAAGGGATGCTGGCACAGCTGGCAAAGGTTTCGGTCTGAGAGCTGGATGGCGCTGCCTTTCAGCCTCATCTGCAACAGAAATGAGACTGAGAGTGTGGCCGGCAGTGGCCTTGAGGGGCCCCCTCCCTAGAGGTGACACATGGCCTCACAGTCACAGCACTAATGGGGACAGCTTTCATGGGGGCTTCAGGCAGTATGCAGAGGAGGAGATGAACACCATTGTCCTTAAGAACTGGAGAAGGGAAAAAGCTACAAACTCCTCTTATTGGAGCAATCATCGTGCGCCTGGTATCTCTATCCTCCCTCAACCTTTCTGGAGCTCTGGCTGTTCCAACCCAGGGCTGTCACCAAGTCACATGTTATGTTGGAGTCCCGGGGGCCCTGCACCTCTCACTGGTGAATGAGGAAAGAAAGGCACACAGAAGCAACTTGGTCACAGCCACACAGTGAGGAGTGGCATGCTCCTGACTGGTCCGGGAAAACACAATGCCCATCTTCAGAGGTCACGGACGTGGCCGAGGCCGAACACCCTTGCCCACTCTGACAAATAGAACCTGAGCCTTGCAGTCTTTCTGCACAATTCACTAGAGTCTACCCAGGCAGGGCCGCTGGCAGCAACCTGGTGGATCATCTCATCCTCACCCTTGTACCCCTCCATCTACAAATGTGTGCCCAGTGCCTCCAGCACCCTGGGCTTAGCCCTACGGAAACACAAATGCATGAAGCCGCTGCCCTAGTGAACTCAAGGTCTAAGAGGAAGACTATTATGACCACATACACAGAGCATCTAAGTGGGCAGCAGAGGGGTACTTGGTGGCTTTGCCATAGGAAAAGCAGGCTGAGCTGGCTGGCAGAAGGGAAGGTAGGAGCATCCCAGGCACCGGGGAACACATGTGTAAAGGCTGGGAGGAAGGTGACAGCATGTGCCCCCTGGGACGGCCCATGTGGCCAAGGCAGACTGTGCACTGGAGTGACAGACCAGAGGGGCGACTGCAGCTCCTGGCCGTGGGGGCCTTGTTGGGAAGGACACCTCGGGTCCCTACTTGGCCAGCCATGTGCAGAAAGAGGCCACCTGAGGGGGAATATAGTGCAGGGACAATGATGTGTGGTGGGAGGCACCTCTGCACACTGTCATGTGACTTCCTGAGCCTGTTTCCTGTCCTGAGCGATGATACCACATGATGAGATGACATGGTGTTGAGGACCACAGGGTGCGTGGTTTGCAACAGGCGCTCAGTGAGCACTGCTGTTCCAACACCTCCGCCCGTGTGGTTCTGTGTCCAGAGTGGGCAGCCTCCATCACCCCGGCTGTGCCAGCCCTGACTCAGCCTCTGCCCATCAGACTGCAGCGTCTGCTGAGAATGAGACACTGTGCGTCCAGCCCATACCCACCTTGTCATATGCATGGAGCAGGTTTTCCGACCTGGCCAGGCCAAGAGCCACCTGTGCAGTCCTCCTGGTGTGGATGCTGCCCCGGACGGCCCCGGTGAGGAATGGGCGGAGCAGCTGCACCGACCAGGAGCCGGGTAGCAGCTGCAGCACCTGGGTGGCATCAAACTCAGAGGTGTGGCGGTTGAGCAGGTCTACGGCAGCCACAGTGAGCTCAGGGGCCAAGGGCCCGGCCTGCAGGTACATGGTGAGCAGCGTGTGGAAGAGGCGCTGGCGGCAGGGCGCATCCTGGCCCTCGGAGCTCCACAGGCAGTAGTCCTCCGCCGCCGCTGTGTCCCCCAGCTCATGCACCAGGATGCGCAGGGCCTGCTCGTGCTCACCCAGTTTCCCGTGCAGGATGGCGCGCTCCACAGGCAGCCCAGCGCCCTGGATCCGCTCTGCAGGACAGAGGCCGCTGAGGGTCAGCCAGTAGCCTAGGGCCCCACCCGGCCCCTCCACAGCTCTGGGCCTCGGAGGGGATGGCAGTCACCGCCGAATGATAAGCTTGGTCACCAGGGCCACTGGATGGAGTGGAGGGTTCCTGGGTCTCAGTGAAACAGGAGACGACCTCTCAGGTGATGGCTAGAGAACCAGCAAATCCAACAGTCCAGGACCACAGAGGCCCGAGATCCTGCTCCCCGCCTGATCATCCCAATCTGCCTTCCCAGGGCCGGATCCAGGATTGAGGACAGGGCACCTCATGCCCTGGGGTACGTTCCAGGACTCAAGAGGACCCCGACTCCCCAGTGCTCAAGCCCCATGGAAAAAAGTCTAGAGTTTGTACAGAGCCTGCACATGTGCTCCCGGACACTTGCAGGGCCTGTGTCACTCACGGCTCCTGATAAACTGTTACACTATGTTGTTCAGGGAGCAATGACAAGGACAAAGGCTACCATGTCAGCACAGACACTTTTTACAAAATATCTTCCACTTGTTGCTGGTTGAATTGCAGATGCAGAACCCGCGGATAAGGAGACAGACTGTGCATCCCCCTTAAATCCAGACAGACACCTCCAAAACATGTGCTGAACCCCTTCGCTCTGATTTCTAATCTGCTCCACTGAAAGGAATATGGGCTCATACTATTAAAAACCCACATCTACATTAGCCAACAAAATCTGAAGACAAACAAAGTTTTCTTTTCTTTTCCCAGCAATGAAGCTTCCAGGACAAAAGAAAAAGATAGACCCTAAGACAGCGTCAGTCCTGACCGAGGACCTGCTTTGGTGGGCTGACTCACCCAGCAGCGTGCCTCTGTCCCTGGGCTGTCTGTAACAGGAAGACATCACAAGCGCCCTCCCTGCTGTGAAGAGCATCCCAGGGCCACGCCAAGGTCAGGGGCTGGGGGACAGCACACAGTGTCAACAAACGACTACCCTGGGGCCCCTACTGGAGGCTTGGCAGAGGTACAGGACAGTTCTGAGGGCTGTGGCAATTTCCACCTTCATACTCATCTTACCTGTAAATTCCCAGCCACCCCAAGCAGACAGACAGGGCAGGAATCATTACTACAACCTCCACAGCCCAGCCCAGCCCCCAGTCACTAACAAGGGGGCACTGCCACAACGCGGGTGACGTGTCCCCATGGCTCTCAGGCTGGAGGCGTGGTCCTTAGTGTGGCAGTGTGAGAAGGGTGGGGGCTTTAGGAGATGGCACCTAAGGCTGTGTGTGTGTGACAGAATGCAAAGCATCTGCCCAAGGTGCAGGAGCCCTGGTCCCACCCCAGTACTGCAAAAACAGAGAGAGAGGGAGAGAGGGGAGAGAGAGGAGAGAGAGAGAGAGAGAGAGAGAGAGAGGGGCAGCACAATATAAGCAGGTCATGTGGACACTGCTCTGGAAGAGATTAAGGTAGCTGGCCTGGGACCCTGGTCAGCTCTCCCTCTCCGAGAGGACGCCATGCTCGCCCTCACCTATCAGGAAGTGGACTCGGTACAGGTCAGATTTTTGGAGCAGGTGCCGCAGCTTGGTCTGCATCTCGGTGGTTGCAGCATCACTGCTGCTGGTGGCCACCCTCTGCTGCAGCAGCTCCTCCAGGTAGAGCATGGCTAGTTGAGTGTGGTACTCTTCCTTCTGCAGAAGCGAAAGTGGGGCGGCACACAGACAGCGTTTGCAGCAGGAGCGTGCAGGTCTTGTACCAGCAGGGCTCCCTCGACCAGGATGCACTGAGCAGAGCTGACTACTTTCAAAGATGCCACACCCAACACCCCACCGGGCCGGGAGCCTCCTGGGGACAACATACACAGTGGGAGTTTGCAACCTGTGTGCTGGAGTCAAAGGCCCATGTGATGAGGCAGGGTCCCTGGGTGTTGCCACGGGGAGATGGGGGGCCTGGTGGGAGGTCCTAGGGTCACAGGGGTGTGGCCCTCCCAGGGACCGTGGAACTCTGGCCCCTTCTTTCTGGATGTAAGTGGTTTTGTTCCACCATGCACGCCCACCACGCTTGCTGCCATGTCACAGGCGCAGAGCAACAGGTTGACTGAGCATGGAATGCAACCTCCAGACTGTGAAAGAAGCTTTCCTCTGCAAGTTAACTGTCTCAGGTGCTTTATCACAGTGACAGACAACTAACACATGGAGAGCATGTAAGAGCTTACTTCTCACTCTCAGGAAATAAGGGCCACAGGACTAAAGTATTCTACACAAATGTACAGCTTCTCCCTTTCCCTTTGAGGGTACTAAAGAGGGAAAAGAAGGATGCAAGTGGAGAGGACCTGACACTGGACGTGAACAGCCTCAAGCTCCTGTGGGCCATCAGTATAGAATGAGCAGCCCATGGACCTGACCCTGGTCTCGGTGCCATCCACCAGGAGTAGACAGCTGCAGCCCATGCCCCAGGTGGCTCAGAAGTGCTCACCTGCATGCTCCTGTCTACTACCAGATGCTCCAGGTACTTGACCAGGGCTCTGGGGTATTTCTTAAGGCAGGTGATGACATTGTCTGGATTAAAGCTGTTCTGCTGCTGCTCATCCACAGATCTCTTGGTGAAGACCTGAACTCCAACCTGAAGGAAGAGCAGAGGTTCATTAGGAGGAGGCGCAAGGTCACACTTCTCGATCTTCACTCTGTGCATATGTGCCTTAGACAAAGTTGTCACGGAGAGTACAGTGACGGAACATGTCACATGGCCACAGTTTCGCTCTGTCAATCAGAGTGCCATGAAGTGGCTAGGAAATATTTTTTTCAGGAGAAAAACAGTTCAACAGGAAGCACTGGCAAAGGGTAAAGAGCAAAGTCAGAAAAGCATCCTACACTTGGAAACACTCTGCTGGAAGTTCTCTTAAAATGCTGGAAACTAAAGAAAGCAGCACTTGCTGGTAATGGGTTTTAATGGCCCACAGGGGAACGAACCACTTACACTGTGAGGGTCAGGTCACCCCACTCAGAGATGGTGCTGGCCTAGGAGTAAGTGGACCATCAGGGACAGTGGCGAAGTCTCAGTATTACAGCCCAGGGCTTGGGCCACAGGCGATGAGTGGGTCCCCTGGGCACTCCGGTGTCACCTCTAGCACAGGCACACACCTATGAACTCGACAGGAGTGTGGATTTTGAGTCCTTAAGCTGGGTCTGTGCATCACCTCCAGCACCTCCATGACCTTGGCCAAGTGTCCCAATCTCTCCAGCCTTCAGTAATGTCCACCTGCCTGGTGGGGTTGTGTGCTGTTCAGAAGAGATGACAGAGCAGGGTGTGGACTTGTGCACTTCTGCTATCAACCTCCCTAACCTCGGGGAGGGTGGCGCCTGCTAAGGCACGAGCTCCACATCACAGGCATTGCAAGTGTAGCAAGGGCAGCTCTGGAGGAGTGCCCAGGGCAAAGGGTGGGTGGCAAGAGAGCACAGGCTCCAGCCCAGGCTTTGGATGGGCAGAGGTAAAGCCCAGAAGGTTCTCGTTGAGGACAAAGGTTTTGCCTTACAGAGCCAACTGTCTCCCCAGGGAGTCAGGCCAACATACAGGCATTCAATGGCAGGAATGGAAGTGCCTGCTCTCCCTGTCCCTGTCCTTGGTGGGTGCCACTCAGGACTTGGTCCCTCTATCCTGACCACGCTGGCCTTCTCCCTCTCTAATGGCCAAGTTCTGCTCGCCACACCTCCTGCCTCCACCCACAGCCTGTGTCCAGGGAGGGACAGAGAAGAGAGGACACTGGCGGCCTCTGCAGGCCCCAGATCTGGGCTGTTTCTTCTCAAGGACTGCGCCCTGCAGGCAACAGTGGTGCCAGACTTCAGGTTGGATGGCCAGGGGGGAATTAAACACCAAGGCACCAAGAATGGGGGTGGGGACCAGGCTTCCTGCTGGAACGAGGGTTCTGAGCAGCACAACTCAGAGACACAGAATGCAGGCGCTCCTCTAGACTCAGAGTTCAGAAGGTTCTAAGGAAGGCATTAAAAGCGGAAAAAGAGCCAAGTGTGGTGCTGTGTGCCTGTCATCTCAGCACTCAGGAGGCTGAGGCAGGAGGATCGCAGTAAGTTTGAGGCCAGCCTGGCCTATATGGTGAGTTTAAGGCCCAAATCACACAGCAAGACCCTGTTTCTAAATGGATAAACAAATAAATGGGCGGCAATGAAAACAGAGAAGCTGGGCACGGTGGTATATGCCTGTAACCCTGTACTTGGGAGGTGGAGGCAGAAGGATTGCCACAAGTTCAAGACCAGCCTGCGTTACACAGAGAGTTCAAGGCCAGCCTGGACTACATAGCAAAACCCTGTTGCAAAAAAACAAAACCAAAAGCAAAAAAATAAAGAAAAAGAAAACAGAGGAGGAGGTTGAAATGCAGCTTTTGATCCCTTCTAGGATCAAGGGATTTGAGGTCTGTTTCTATCAGCCACCTTGAAAAAGAAATCACCAAGGAAGCACAAACCTCCTCGCTTTTCTGTAGGACCCAGTCGGCATAGGTCCACACCAGCTGCTGGTCTGAGCAGTAGGTCAGAAAATCGACGACGTATTCATACAGGTCAGAGCGCGTGGAGTCCTGGATATCTCCATTCACAATGTTCACCCACAACTGGACAGGAATGGAACATTACGTTATATACCCTCATTCATAAGAATTAGCTTAGAGAGGCCATGTGTTCACTTGGCCTTTTAAGACTTAGAAATACGAATATCTCTAACCCCAAAACCCCAAATCTGAAACTTTTTAAAGCATGTTGACACTGTATTTTGGATTTCAGAGTTTTGGATTAGGGTGTTTCTACCAGTAAAATCTAGGTGAATATTCCAAAATCTGAGAAACTAAAATCTGATACACTTCCAGGCCCAAGCATTTTGGATAAGGAATACTCAACCTGTAGCAGGACAAACTGTAAATGGTGAGCTCAAATTTAATTTTTTTTTGGATGAAGAAATGTAAAAAGACAGTTCAGAAGACCAAGAAAAGAGACAACCGAGTTCCTTCCTTTTTCCTTCACTTCCTTCTTTCTTCCTTTTCCTGTCCCTCCCTCCTATCCTTCCTTCTTCCTTTGTGCAATACAGTAACAAAGCAGCAGATGACATTTACGGGGAGAGATGAGGGCATTTAACATGTTTCTTCATAAATTATGCGATCACTGCGAATGCCTGAGCCGGGAGGCAGCTCCCCCGGAGGCACCAGCTCACCTGTCTCCCTTCTCCACCACAGGTTCTGGATCCTGGGGTCCTCTTTGGGCAGTGATAGGTAGATGCTGTGCTTTTCAAAAAGCTTTGGTGACCATCCCCAGGGGCTCCCATTGTCTTTTGCACAAGGACCCTGGGGTGGATCCCAATGATAAAATCCTTTTGCAATTACGGCCAAGATTACCCCCTCCATGATAACTGAAGCTCACTCTGGGGACCCACATGAGGCAGCAGCACTAGGGCAGGGAGGGATGGAGGCTACACATGAGGTCCCTCCATCACCTACCCAGTGAGCCTCAACCACATCCACCTGGCTGCACTTCTGAGCCCCAGCTCCCAAGAGAAGCTTGAGAAACAAGGCAGCAATGCGACTCTGTCATTCTGAGGCCAGCACAATGACCTCCTCCATCATGGTTGAATCTCCCTCACCCAAATGCCTGGGAGCCTGAGATCACAAGGCTTTCAGAATATATGCATATGCATTATGAAATACTTGGGACTGGGACCCAAGTCTAAGAATGAAATGTGTGCATGCTTCATATAAACTCATGTATGTAGCCTGGAGTGAATCTGATGCTTTTTATGTCATTTCCTGCTTGAAACAAAGTTTCATGGTGTAGAATTTTCCACTTCTGGCATCATGCCAGTATTCAAAAACTTTTGGATTTTAAAGCATTTCAGATTTTCAGATTAGAGATATTCAACCTGTATGAGCTTCTTTATCAATGAGTTCCCCCAACTAAATAACTTAATACTATGTACATTCAAAAGTGCTTTTGTTAATAGAATTTTGCCACATATAAAGATTTACTCAGTATTATTTCAAGTCTGCAAATTTCTTTTTCTATTTAGTTTTGCTAATATTATTGCACTTACATCAAGCTGTAATTCTGAGAAAACCATGTTTTAAAAAACAAAAAATGTAGAGCACAGAGGAGGTGAGCCGCTCCCAGTGCACAAGAGGAGGCTTCCGGGCCACCATATCACCCCCGCCAGCACAGAGGAGGTGAGCCATTCCCAGGGCACAAGAGGAGACTTCTGGGCCACCGTATCACCCCTGCCAGCACAGAGGAGGTGAGCCACTCCCAGCGCACAAGAGGAGGCTTCCGGGACATTGTACCACCCCTGGTAGCACAGAGGTGAGCTGCATGGGTGCCAGCAGCACAGCCCCTCATCAAAATGAGAAGTCACGTAAACAAGTCTCAAAACCAGACTTCAAGATCACCTATAGCAACCTCAAAGGGAAATGAGATGGAACACTCTGATACTCAAACACCTGGACTCCCTGAACTGGCAACAAAAGAGGATCTGGAAAAAATGAAATCAGAAATAATTCCTCAGATGACAACAGAGA